ATAACCAATACATCTGCTGTCCGTATGATTATAGCAGGCGCGGAAAGGGGTATCACACGTCGCACATAATCGTAGTGTTTCAGAAGGGTTTATTTGGATTATATAAAAATTATTTATTGATCATATCTCAATAACATATACACGTACAATAGGTCTTCTGAATCAAACGTAAATTTAAAATAGAAGCTCAAATTGGAGAAACAGTTTTGTTAATATTTGAAACAAGGATGAAAAACTACTAGACTGATCCATTCATTCAAAATTAAGCCCTTATATATTTCAATCAGTCAGATTGTGTTTTATATTACGCAGACAGAGCTGTCGCATCGGCTGCCGCATTAGAGATAACAAGACGGCTGGCTGCTAATTTGAGTGGGGATAATTTGTGCGAGTTTGTTTATCTGAGGAGCGAGCATGCGTTTTATGAATGAATCAGTACTTACGTCTACCACACCTGCTTTACGCTGCTGTTACACTTCAAAATTAATTGCGAACTTTCCTGGAAAGCATATTCAACTATGATAGTTGCAACGAAAAAAATACATTAAACTGCTAATAATTTGCATTAAGAATGCAAACATACTTAATGTAATTTTGCAAGCATTTTGTGCGTTTTGGAGCCTTATGTTAAGTCAATAACGAATTATAACCATAAACAATCCTTGTAATAACTCACACATACTCATAATAATTTGACAACTACATGGATAATACGGTGAATGTTTGCAATTCGATTTTTATAAACAAAATTAGTTTAGTAGTTGTTCGTTAATAAAAGGTAAGTTGCTGTAGCGGTTTTTTGTGATTTATCTAAGGCGTCTGACTGTGTATATCACAGAATATTATTAATAAGTACATTGGAAAAATATCTTTATCAAACAAATGTCAAAATGTATTTGAATGAAACCTCAGAGTATTATCTTGTTGACAGTGGTATACCTCAAAACCCTATTTCGGGCCGCTACTTTTTTATTATACATTAATGACTTGCCCAATATTAATATTAATGGATTATTCGTTATTTTTATAATGGGGCACGACATATATGAAGATGCCTTAGCTTCAGATCAAAAAAAATTTAAGCCTAGTCATCAGTGACCAAACACAAAAATATAAAAATGATATCAGCACATACTTTTATCGCGATACAATGTATTGTATCCCACTTCCCAATCCTACTACCACCATAATCAAATATTCTATTTTTTACTAGTATAAAGGTACTTTTAGACGGTGAGATCATTTCTCCGTTTAGTCTTAGTTTCAGTACAGTTGTCAGTTCAATTTGGAAATAACATCCCTTTAACTGACAACTAACTTTTGGTGAATCTAAAAAAACATTGAAAACACATGTAAATTTAGACGAAAAGTAATAAAACCTTATCAGAAAAGAATATTATTTTCTTGGACTGTTTTTAAGGATAGTCTTGAATTAATTAGTAAAATATAACTCAGTAACATTTTTGTGACTATTAATATTATTATTGTGGCAATTATTATTGTTATTAATAATTTTCTTAGTTATTTTATTCTTCTATCACATTAGTCAAATTTTGTGATTTCAGCCAATAAGACCTCGCGATCCTAGCCAATCATTGAGTTTTACATTGATTAAAACGTTTCTTCGTTTTGTTTTTTTGATAAAACTATGTTTACCTTTTGAAACGACAACTTAATTTAAAAAAAATTATCATCGTAAAATGTACTTTAAATATATGTTAATACATACCTAAATTTCAAAATATTGTTAATTAAATTCGGTAATATTTATAAGTAAAACTAACCTGTTTTTGTTTAATTAAATCACTTATAACACAGATAAAATTGACCCACATCAACACTCAATTTTGAACCATTAAACATCATTTTTTGAATACCTAAACAAATTTAAATTAACTAAACTTAAACAGATCAAGTTTAATACACATAAATCACAAATAAGAATTTTAAAATTTGGCAATCAACTTTTATGTTGCAGCGGTTGATGTAATGCGTCGTTACCATATAGCATTTTTTTAGACTATTAAAGGAAATTATATTAATATAAAATAAACAAATATAGAAATGTTTAATAAACACTTTTAGATTATTACCTAATAGAAATATGTTTTTCATGCAAATTATTTAAAAATTATATTTTCAAATACCCCGTCGTCCT